CCCGCCTGTTTTTCAGTTGGATGCTGATAACTATGAGACTGATCCACGCCTGAAGGAGATTCGGAGAGCAGAGAATTACTCGTGGATGGACATAGTGACCATACATAAAGACAAGCTTCCGAATTACGAGGAGAAGGTACGCGAGGCCTCGCTCGCGGTGAGGGTTTCGCGCTGATGTCTGCTGCCAGGGAGCGCGGCCGGCCTCCCGACACCCACCGGGTGCAGGGACGGGGCTTCCAGCTGTCAAATGCGTCCTGTGCTGGAGCCCTTACCCTGAAAAAAGCGGGTTCGATGTTACTTTAAAAACAGTAGAGGCCTTTCGCTTCTGCAGATGGCCTTCGAAGGTCTGAAGGATAGTTTCTGTCACTGTGTCACTGTGAAACGGAGACTGGCGCGAGCAGAGCCGTGCCGAGGCTGACCTGTCCTCAGAGAGCCTCCCCGGGGCGAGGGCGGGTGGTGGCCAGCTGGGCATGGGCTGGGAAGGCTGGAAGATGCTAATGGCCACCTGTAAATACGTCTTTTCAAAGTGAACGTTAACCTCATGGAATCAGAGGGATGCGTTCCCCGTGTGGGAAGATCTTTTTTACCTTGGGAAGCTGGTACGGTGACTATTCCGTAACAGCCGAATGCAAACGGTGCCAGGCTCTCAGATGAGCCTCCGAGAAGGAGCCTTCTCTTCACAGCCTCCAGGTGCTGGCACGCTGCTCTGACCTGAGGACAGCAACCTGGTGGCACTTCCCTGTTGTCACTGAATTTCCATTTACCAGTTTGCTTTAAGCCCATTGTGTTATACTGGTTTTAAATTGACGAGAAGGTGAATTAGGGAGTAACTCAGGTTGCCTGGGTGGGCTCCACCTGACACAAAGATGGGCCGTTATTGACGGGGCATGTGGACTTCTGCTCACCTTGCAATGCTGGGTCAGGGTGGGCTCAGGGACACTGGTGCTAGGGCCACTGAACAGCATCTAGACCTGAGTGGGTGGGGGTACCGGGCATTGCTGACCTGCTCAGGTCGCTGTTAATGGAACCTTTAAAGCATGCTTTGTTCTGTGCTGTGAAACGTACAAAGAATTCACCATTCTGGAAAAAATGAGAATGTTGCTGCTGCTGCCCGGGAGGAGAGAGCCTGTGAGCTGGGGCTCGCTGCGTGACATGCTGTTTACATTAGATTGCCGTAGATAGGCCATGTCCAGCAGTAACCGCATTTTCACACACAGTTGTAGTAGCCCGTGGGACTAATTCAGCCCTACGCTGGTGTAAAAGAGGGGGGATTATCTGTAGCTCTGTTTTATTTTTGTGTGTCAGGAAAAAATAAGGCACAAAACGGTGCAGCTGAATGCCTGCAAGGACACAGTCCTGTGGTGGGAAGCTTTACCCCCTCTCTCTCAGACGGGTGTCAGCATGGCTGTTATTCCGAGACTGGTTGTGTGCAGCTATAGCTGCCGTTTCTTGTCAGAGAAATTCCTGTCTTCCAAAGGAAATGTAGCAGCCTGCTTAGAGGTGTCCCGAGACAGCGTCTGGCTGGCTGGATTGGCCGTTTTAACCACGTTGGTCTCATCTGTCAGCTAAATCACTGTGCAGTTACCCTTCGAAAGCCTTTGTCTGCTTTGCCACGTGTTTCTACCAGTTTTCTTTGCAGTTTTTCTGTGTTTGGTAGTTTTAAGAAATACTTGCTGTTCCTAGATAAAAACATTCTATGAAGAGCATTTACACCTAGACGATGAAATTCGCTACATCTTAGATGGATCTGGCTATTTTGATGTTCGAGACAAAGATGACAAATGGATCCGGATTTCCATGGAAAAAGGAGACATGATAACCCTCCCTGCCGGCATATATCACCGATTTACACTGGATGAGAACGTATGTTGTTACAGATCACTGTAAATTTTGATGACAAATCCACATGAGTATATATCACAATTAGTAACTACATGCCCTGAGACTTGCAGTTCGTTAGCAAAACATATTAAATATGAAGTAGGAATATGAAAAATACTAAATAATTCACAACATCTGAACCTTTCATCTCCAGGTCACAAATCCAGCTTCCCCCTATCAGCTGTGACTGCAAGTCATTGCCACGCAATACCCGTAGCGTATCTTATGTGACAGCGGCACGAGAGCTGAGCCTGGCGGCTGTCCCTCCCACAGTTGCCCCTGATGTCGGTTGGGGTGGAGGTGGATCCTTCTGCGTTGCCATGTTGTGTGTCTTCGTGAGGGCAGACAGAGCGTATCTGTGTCCAGCAGTGGCGTTTTTCACAAGTGCTGAATTTACCTTCAGGGAAAGAAGGATTTAAGGGTCCAGAGCCACTACTTGCAGCTAGCGTGTGCTAGGCTGGATGCTTCGCAGGAGGTGACCTGCTTTCAGAGGGTCTCTTTGGCAGTGGGACTGTGAGATTGGCACGTGTAGTGCTGAGCCGTGTCTCTG